ACACCAACACCCACCCTCACATCCACGCCCACACCCACACCCACACCACACACCCAGTCCTACACCCACACACCCACACCAACACCCACACCCCACACCCCACACCCCACACCCTACACCCTACACCCACACCCCACATCCTACTCGATAAATTCTAGAAGTATTGTTTGGAAGTTCAAATGTTATCGTGGAAAGTGGACTCTGGCTGCATGGAAAATGGCTTACACCACTTTGGTGTTTATTACTTCGCTGTGGAGTTTTGTTTATAGTTTTGGAGGAGCTGTTCGAGACGTGTGGTAGGTTCTTTTCGACGATATAAAAGGAGTTTCCGGGAAATCCAACTTATGCCCATTATGTCCACTATGTCATTATGCCCATTATGCCCTGTTCCAAATCAAGTCCACAAAAAAAAGAGTTTCCTGAAAACTAATAGAATGCATCAAATCGCATATTGAGTCAACAGAAAATTAAGTTTTCAATTGTGATCTAAAAGAAGACTGATATTATTTGTGATTTTTTCCTTTGGATGATTATAATATCTTTAGAAAGAAGAAAACAATCAAAGCCCACATAACAGTGTTGTTTTTTGTTCTTATCAGGGAGAAAAATGGTTCTTTTTAAATCGCCGAAGAGCAGCAATGCAACGCACTACGACACTGAATAACCTTATCATTTTTTTCTTTACAACACAATTTTCTTTTACGACTACTGAAATTCGATACTAAACGTCGACAAACAAAAGCACATTTGATGTTTTAAAAAAGTCAAGAAAAACGACTCTTATTGGATCAATAGCAAAAAAAAATATTTCTGACTGAATTTCAAACAACTTCTCTCCATTGTTGGTTAGTTATAAAGTGGCAAATAAATTCAAAATGGATGGGCAAAAGCAGAATGAAATGCTTTCTACATCCATAACGGATGCCGTAACAACTGCAACGACATTATCGTGTATTATGGAACCAACACAATGCATGACTGAAGGCTATGTAATTATCTGGATCGACGAGAACATTGACCCAAACAATGAAAAATGTAAAAATACACTAACACAGCTGCAACACGTGACCGATCAAGTATATATTTTTACCACATCCGATGAAGGTATAGATTTTCTCACTGACATCAATGATCAAAAGGCATTTCTCATTCTGTCAAATCCTAAAGATCAACACATTATACCTATCGTGGATGATATTTCTAGTCTTCTGAGTGTGCATATATTCTGCAGCACAGAATCCCTAATCCACGATTGGAAAAAGAATTCCAGCAAAATTAAAGGTATGCACACAGATATCAAGCGTCTCTGTGAAGCACTACTAGACGCCATCAACCAGTGTTACAAAAATGATATCGCTATGAGTCTTGTCAGCGGCGGCGAAGATAACTTGAAAATAAATCTAGATCAAATAGAACCCTCATTTATGCACACACAATTATTTAAAGAAATTGTCCTTGAAATCGATCATAGCAAAGAAGAAATCACAGACTTTATTAAATTTTAGCGCGGTAAATGTAACGACAATATGACAACATTAGATACTATCAAAGATTTCGAGAAGAATTACAGTCCAGAGAAGTCAATTTCGTGGTACATTCGTACCCCTCTCATCTATCAGACGGTTAACTGGTCACTTCGAACATTGGATACTCTAACAATGAAGAAAATGAGTTTTTTTATTCAAGATCTTCATTGCCAACTCGGACAATTACACAAAGAACAGTTTCGAAAAGCAGGAAGTGCTGACATTGTTGTATACCGCGGCCAAGGATTGGCCAAAGCTGATTTCGACAACCTGAAAAAAACCAAGGGTGGGCTTCTATCCTTTAATAACTTTTTATCCACCAGCCGAAGTCGCGATACTTCCTTCGTCTATGCTGAAAGTAACGCATCAGTAGCTAACTTCGTCGGGATTCTCTTCATAATGACTGTTAGATCGTCAATTTCTTCAACTCCTTTCGCCAACATCCAAGGGATGGGTCCATTCCACGATGAAGAGGAAATTCTCTTTTCTATGCACACGATTTTTCGTGTCAACGAAATCAAACAGATTCTCAACAATTCCAACCTGTACGAAGTACAACTCATTCTCACCAACGATGATGATCCAAAACTATCTATTCTCACACACTCTATACGGCATGAAATCAGCGGAAATGGCTGGAATCGCATGGTTCACTTGATGCTCACGCTTCACCACTATCAAACAGCCCAGGAAATTTGTGATCACCTACTAGCCACATCTCAGTGGCGGATTTAGGGGGAGGGCGCTTGGGGCGATCGCTCCCATTCGAAACAAAAATTTTTGGATTTTCCCAGCAGAAAAGTCTTAAAAATAGAGTGCATTCTACTACTAATAAACTTCAAAACTTGCTTTTTGATCAAAATCGCCCCATGTCTATCGAATCGCCCCTTATCAAAAAAATCCTAGATCCGCCGCTGCCACATCTTCCACGAACATAGAACGAGCGAATGCCCTGAATAGCCAAGGAAGAATCGAACATCAACGAGGCGACCATCCAAAAGCACTTTCATCGTTAGAAAGATCACTTGAAATCTTCAAAATAACCCTTCCACCGAATCATCCCTCCTTGGCTACTTCGTACAACAACATCGCTTCAGTGTATTCTCACATGGGCGAGCACTCGAAAGCACTTTCATTGTACGAAAGATCACTTGAAATCACCAAAATAGCTCTCCCTCCGAATCATCCCGACTTGGCTACTTCCTACAACAACATCGCTATGGTGTATTCCCACATGGGCGAGTACACGAAAGCACTTTCATCGTTAGAAAGATCACTTGAAATCCTCAAAATAACCCTTCCACCGAATCATCCCTCCTTGGCTACTTCGTACAACAACATCGCTCTGGTGTATTCTCACATGGGCGAGTACTCGAAAGCACTTTCATCGTTAAAAAGATCACTTGAAATCCTCAAGATAGCTCTCCCTTCGAATCATCCCAATTTAGCTACTACCTACAACAACATCGCTATGGTGTATCATAACATGGGCGAGTACTCGAAAGCACTTTCATCGTACGAAAGATCACTTGAAATCATCAAAATAGCTCTCCCTTCGAATCATCCCTTATTGGCTACTTCCTACAACAACATCGCCATGGTGTATTCTCGCATGGGCGAGTACTCGAAAGCACATTCGTCGTACGAAAGATCACTTGAAATCCGAAAAATAGCTCTCCCTCCGAATCATCCCGACTTGGCTACTACCTACAACAACATCGCTTCAATGTATGATAACATGGGCGAGTACTCGAAAGCGCTTTCATCGTACGAAAGATCACTTGAAATCCGAAAAATAGCTCTCCCTCCGAATCATCCCTCCTTGGCTACTTCCTACAACAACATCGCTATGGTGTATGATAACATGGGCGAGTACTCGAAAGCACTTTCATCGTTAGAAAGATCACTTGAAATCCGAAAAATAGCTCTTCCTCCCATTCATCCCGATTTGGTTAGTTCCTACAACAACATCGCTATGGTGTATGATAACATGGGCGAGTACTCGAAAGCACTTTCATCGTACGAAAGATCATTTGAGGTTTTGAGAAAGTTGGTGCCTTCTACTCATCCTCTTTTGGTACTTGTGAAAAGACACATTGAATATTTAAGAAACAGACTTTAGTAGTTTTATCTTTTATTCTGCAAAAATAAAATTCTTGAAATGTTTGTTTTGATGAGGAGCCTCATTGTTTTCTTTCTTGTGATGGAGAAGGTGAATCGGAGTTGCAGTGTTTGTAAGAGCGATGCTGTAAATTCCACTTGTATTTAGCAACTCGGAAGTTGCTATTGCGATGGGGCGCGTGCGAGTGTGAGTATGGATATGGCCGCTGGTGCGAGGCGGGATATCAGTGCATCTGTGGCAGTCAGCTTAGCAACACTGTGAGCAAGATACACAGTACCAGAGGTCCAACCTGGCCCACTTTTTGTAGGCCTGGCCTGCCTGTGACAGGCTTACACCCTTCTCAGCCTGCCTGTGCCTGTCATCTTATTTCTTCGGCCTGGCCTGCCTGCCTGTCACTTTCTTCGGCCTGCCTGGCCTGCCTGGCAAGGCCTGTCTACTTTTTTAAAGCCAATATAGTTATAATAATATGATATAATTAAGTCCTAGACTTCATAGAAAGTCCAGAAAGTCAATGGAATCAATTTAGATGACACAAGTACAAATTCTCTGATGTGGAGATTCAAGAAAATATTTAAAAGCGTTCACTATACAGAAGTGTTCCTTTCCTATCTATGCACAAGAGCATATAGGAAAAAGGTGTGGGTGTGGGTGTGAGTGGGTGTATAGGGAGTGGGTCTGGGTCTAGGTGTAGTAAGAGAGAACAGTAACACCCACACCCACACCCACACCCACACCCACACCCACACCCACACCCACACCCACACCCACACCCACACCCACACCCACACCCACACCCACACCCACACCCACACCCACACCCACACCCACACCCACACCCACACCCACACCCACACCCACACCCACACCCACACCCACACCCACACCCACACCCACACCCACACCCACACCCACACCCACACCCACACCCACACCCACACCCACA